TCAAATATAAAGGCTTCCAGGCATGTTCCTTCTTGGTGTTGCTTATATCCTCCCGTTGATATTGATTACAACAACACCGACGACCATGTTGAACTTATAGCTTCACCTGTCATGTATGTAGGTGCCACCGGCAGAGCTTGAAGCCCTTCTCGTGAGCCATCCATCCATTGCGGATGCCGCTGTTGTCCCGTAAGTAGTGCAATTAATTTCATAAACTAAACACAACCTGCACGATATCATTATTTTATATCTCTCTGAACTCTGTGCATGTCTTTTATCAGTCAAAAAGATGCTGTCGCCGGTGAAGTTCCAGTTGCATTTGTGGTCCGGTCAAATGGGTTTGATCTTACTGAGGAGTCTGTAAAAGAATTTATAGCCAAACAAGTAAGTAGAAACATGCGTTAATTTATTTGAAATTTCACCTTTTATTAAAGTTCATGTCAGTAATCATATCCATGACAAAGAAAAAACATATAAAAGATGATGGTTCTTCATATTTGATCTAGCCAACGATGCCGACTTGCTCAAATGGGTGGTTACTGGTTAGAGCGTTCAACCCATGAACCAGTTACCAAAACAATTTTGTGTCTGGTCCAAATTTACGACATGATTTCAAGTGTTAGAGTAATCTGTGCGTGTGGGACTGTGAGACTGTCAATGGACAGAGCCAACAGAAGACCTTATTATATAGGGTTTGGATTTGCATTATGCATCCCGAGTATAGATTTTTGGTTGTTGTTGTTGTGAAAGGATTAAGAGTTAAGACCTGGACCTACATATATTTAGGGTTATCGTCTGAAGTTCTCATAATTTTTCCTCCATTTCTCTTATACTTATCCTGATTTTTCCAAATATCTTGATAACCGTCAAAGAATTTATGTTATCTAGAACTTACATTTCTTCAAGTCAGCATTAGTGACCATTACTATGACACTAATTGTTTTTAAGAACAAAACTAACACTCACCTCTTTTAAATAATTGTTTGAAAAAGAAAACGGGTAAAAAACAAAAGATGAAAATATTCTTTTATCCTCTTCCAACCCAAAGGCCCTAAGCCCCATATGGATGAAGAGATAAAACCCCGAATTTCAGACTCATGGATAGTATAATAAATGTCATTGTCGCAGAATTTTTGTTCATCGCAAACTTAAATGGAGGGGTAGTATAGTAAATTTATAAAAACAGTTCATCTCCAACAAAGGGGTCTCCGGAAGCCAGGGTATGTTATTAAGAGAAAGGGAAAAAGCGAAGGATACTACTATGCTATGGTAGTTTTAGATAATAATCCTATAAGTTTGATATTAGTATATTATAAAGATACTCCCTATTTAATACTTTTTTTCCTCATGATATACTAGTAATACTATCATATTTTGATGTCTAAATGTGTCAACTTAACAAATAGGAAGGTTCATTATCAAACTAAGGTCAGACCCGATAGTCACCAACTCCCCATTAATAAATAGGTAGGCTATGACTTGTGAATCTTTTGGAAATTGGAACTGGTGCTGCATATCGGGTCAGAATTGGGCCTATCATGACCCAGATCAGACCAGATAGCGACCCATTGACACTTGACAGCACCATGTGCACGAGACAACAAACTTGCCTTAGAATCAAAGATCAAACAGAGATTTTCATGGCCGCAAAACAAACTACTTTACAATAGAGCTTTGGGTTGACGACTGACCTCAAATCCTTGTGATGTCTGATTGCATCTTTCTTCCTCTCTGATCAACAGGTGGTGTTTTACAAAAAGCTGCACAAGGTCTACTTCGTCCATGCCGTTCCCAAGTCCCCCTCCGGGAAGATTTTGAGAAAAGATCTTAGAGCTAAACTTGAGACAAACTCCCACACAGAAATTAAATCTTCATGATTGATTAAGTGATTGCTTTAGCTTGTAGAGGCATAGAAGCCTTGTTACCTATTACCTAGTGAAAGTGAGTTTACAGGGGAAGATGCATTGCCATCAACCGGGTTGAGAAGCCAAGGAAAGTGTAAGGACCTTCCAAATGTAATGTGCCATTAGTGTTGCTTCATTTTCTTTGCATTGTAATGCAATTCTGTTTTGTACTTCAATCAGATATTCTTATAATAAGATAGGAAGGGATTTTCCCTTTCAATTGATTATTTTACTTGTAAAACAATTCTCTTTTGCTTTCATTCATATCCATCTGGTGGAAAAGTGTTTGGCAAAGGAATCAAGTGCTTCTGAAATACAGATTGGGTGACAGCTGAATCTTCAGTTGCACTGGAACTCATTAAACTCATGAACATAAAATCTATGATGCTGGAAAGATAGGGTATCTGATGAGCTTTGATCAATTAAAGCCCATCCGTGAATTTTGATAAATACCATCTGATTAGTTAACAACTTTATGATACTTTTTGTTTGGTCACAAGTTTTTTGGATATGATGTCTTTCTGGTATCATAGTCAAACCTTTTCAACATCAAATAGTAAAATATTAGCGAATGGGGGCTTGCTAAGCATATGTTTAACTAACCAAATTATCAAACATTTTTATAAGTAAATATAAAATGTGCATTTATTAAAACAATCTATATATTTTTTTCATTGATAAAAAGAGATCAAATTTAAGGAAAGAGAGAATATAATAGTGTTGATTTACATATACACCCTGTAGAAGTGTAAAACTAGATAGATGGTGAAATAGAGGATGCTGGAAGAATGGGGTCACCGTAACTTTGGAGGAGAAGCTCTGAGGCGCGTTTGAAGACACTATCTTTAGAACATTATTTGCCCCCACTCAGTTTCACTGAGTTTGTTGTTGGGTTACAGGCAAATCCGTTCCCAAGATACAACAGAGCCTTGGGCGAGAAACTACAACCAGCAAAGTTGAAGAGTCTCCGGAGAAACCTTCTGTAAGACTGTAGCAGACCAGACTGAGAGGGAGAGAGTGAGTGAATTTCGAAAATGTGTTTTTTTGGAGTCTGATTCATTCTCCTTAAATAGTTTATGAAGAGGTATGAAGAAAATGTAGGTGCTGGTTTAGAGAAGGCACCTTGAACAGTCACAATTTCAAACATTGTGACTGTTTAAAAAGTAGTTAACAGTTAATGACTGTTAACTTTGAATTGTGCCTCTTGATCACACCCGATCAAATCGTGACCGTTGATCTCATCAACGATGATCAACGGTCAGCAACGCACCAAAACCAAAGCCACCCTTCGCGAGCCAAGCGAGTGCGAGCAAAGTGCGTCTCATTGCGCCGCACACACGTGCGCACACGTGTTACGTGGTATCAAACCCCCATACTCTCCTCCACTAATTCTAAGGAGTGTCAATCAGTTCCTATTAAAATACTGAAAACAAAGCTTACAATTTTCCAATGTGGGACAAGTTCAAAATTAGGTTTTGCAAGAGAAAAGCTAATTTTTCAATCAAGTGTGTAGGTGCAATTTCCCATGTAATTGACCAATCAAGCCCATTGGATTTAATATCTTACGAGATTAAAATCCAACAAAAGATAAATTTCTCTAACAATCTGTTAGATAGTTCAAAGAGATCACATTCTAATTCTCTAAAATGATTAAATTACCATAGTGGAGGCGAGGCTGTGCTAAGCATGGGCGACAAAGCCTAAAAAATGAACATCAACAAAAAGAAGGTAAGATGGGACCAGTTTATAAACTACAGAAAAATTGAGATGTTAATGCTTGGATGTAATCTAATCTTTTAAATAAGGTTGGATTGAGCTTGGAGGTTAACTAAATTCAATTAATCTACTTTATTTAAGGTGTTATTTATTTTAGGGTTAATTAATTTATTTTATTCAATTAATCTACTTTGTTAGTTAATTAGTTATAAGTTGGATATAGGATTATAAGATACGTATATTTAAAATTTTAGATCCAAAGCTTACAACCAATCAACTGGTATCATAGGTGACCATTCATGGGGGTGAGGGGCCTTGATTGGTCAAAGCTTATTGGGTACCATGCCCTTCCAGTATCATAGAGATTCTAAATGGGCTGACAGAATTTAACATGCTTTCATATGCCCCCACGAGTTAGTACCCTATATAGTACACACCATAGATCAATACCATTTATAAAAGTATGAATGTGTCTTATTTTTTGGAATTTTCTTGGACAGAATTTATCCCTTAATATTGGGCTATCGTGGGAGACATTTATATTTTAATAAAAAAAAGCTTTAATTTAGACAGTAAACTAAATGAACAACATTTATGAATAGAAAATTTAAGACCCTATCTATATCTATACTATTATTAAAAGTGTGAATGAGAGTGTAATTTTTTATTTGACTAAACACCCCAATTTTTTAATTTGGTCAATCTGTCATTGTAAAGATAGAAATGTAATTGAACAACCACTTTTCTTCTCGTTCAAATCCTTCTTATTAAGTCTTACATTTAAGGTACTAAATCACAATAACATTCATTGAGTCTTATTTTTGTCTTGACTAAAATAGCCCTATTTTTGAATTTAGTCTCTTCAATTGTAAGGGCAAAAAATGTAATTTGAACTGCTACATTTCCCTTCATTCAATTCCCTCTCATTAAGGCCTCGTTCGTTTCACGGACTTTGGAAGGGGGGAAGTCGGTCAATGCGATTTTGATTCCCATTGACCAACTCTCCCATCTCATTTTTCAAGATTTAGGTAGGACCCACAATAAATGCCTTTCCCTTGGGTATCACTTACCTGAGAAAGTGTTACCCTTCTCCCACTCGGGAAAGTTCCCAAGTGGAGAGTAAATGCTCAAAATATAATATGCCAAAAATGCCCATAAAAAAATATAATTGAAAAAGTATGGACTTGGACACAAGGGTAAAAATGACAAAACATAGAAAAATTAACCACCTACCTAGGAAAGTGGATGAGGCAAAAGAACATGGGGAAGTTGAAAGGTCTCATTTACCTAGGTAAATTTAACAAAAAAGAACATGGGTAAATACAATTACCTGGCTAAATGTTTCTTAGGAAATACTTACTCAGGTAAATGACCTCTTTCTAAACGAACGAGGCCTAAGTCTCATACTTAAGTGTATCAACTCCCATTTTTCATTGAATCTTATATTAATTGACCATATTAAAAAAATAAGTGTGCAAAAGAATAATTATTTTTTATTGATGATATAAATAAAATGCAAATTTAAAATAAACAAAGTTATTTTCCTCTTTGGTAGCATATTGACAATTCAAACTTTTAGGTTAAATATGTAAATCCTTGATATCATAACTAAATAATAATAAAAATTAAAAAGGATGAAAACAAACAAACATAGAAGACATTTGGGCACATCTTTAATATCATATATTTGCCATATTAAACAAACAATAAGTTTGATAAATAAAGATAAAATTATAAAAAATTTTGGAAACATTATTTACCATCATCATCATCATAAAAAATTATCACATGCAAAGCATGTGCATACTTACTAGTTTAGTTAAAGAGAATATAAACCACTTGATGAGAATGACCTCTCATTAGTAAAAAGGATACCTAGCAAGGGGCAAGGAAGATTATGGTCTTTTGAGAACTTTCATGGAACTTTTACATACTTCTAGTTGTTGGGAAAAAGGATTTAATTGTCGAACAAATTGACCCCTAAGTGAGCAAGGTTGCCACCTCATGCAGTGTACGCAAGAAAAGGATAGTAATTTGAACCTTAAATATGAATGTTGTATGAGAAGGAAAATGCCTAGTAGATTAAGCTGATGCTTAATTTAGGAAAATTATTAACCGATATGAATGTTCAACTCAGCATAGGAAGAAAAGAAGACATGGCACCCTTGAAATGAACTTTATACGTAGGGGTGTCAATTGGACTGGACTTGGTCCAATACGATCTAGTGCAATGCGAACTCGTTACAAATGGACCAGGTCCAATCCAATCCAATGAATATTTTGGACCATTTTAGACTGGTCCAATTCAATGTATAGACTCTAGACTGTCCATTTTATTCAATTTTGTTTTAATTTAAATTGGTCTCAACTCAAACCCAATCCATTGATACCTATATTTTTATCTTATCAATGGACTAGATATTGGCTCAATCCAACCCAATCCAATATAAATTAATTATGGATGGACCAGGTCCAATCCAATCTAATAAATACTTTGACCATTAAGTTTGGATTGGTCAAATTCAATATGTTTTGTTGGTCCGTCCAAATCCAATCTGTCCAAATTGATTTTGGTTTGGATGGGGTCCAATCCAAAACCAATCCATTTGACACCCTTATTTGGATGTGTTAGTTGAAGGTGTATCTACTTATTTAAGTATGTTTAATTGGTCAAATTCAATGTGGCCATGTTTGTTTTTACTTACTCGAGTAAGTATGTTTAATTGGGCAAGTTTTTCTAAGTAAAACTTGCCTACATAAATGAGGTTCTAGCATCCTTGTATATTACAAGTTATCCAAGTAAAGAGAGCAGTGGGAGGGAGAGAATGCTTAGGTATGCTGCTTACTCACCTTGAGGGTATTAATTATTTGGGTAATGATACTTTTTGTTATACTTGATTACCATGTGGCCCAATATGGTAGGAAATAATGCGGGCATTAGGATTAACTTACCGGCGGACCAACTTATCCCCCTTCGCGCTAAATACTACTATGGGCCTAAGTGTAGTTGTAAGGGCAAAGTAGACATTCTCATTGAAATCATGGATTCCAGTTGGTAGAACCATGGTTTTTAAAACCGAACCAGTCAGGGGTCCGTTACCAGGTTGAACGGTCCAACCATTCGAATTGAACACAGCCCGTTCTGACAAAAAAAATAAAAAAATAAAAACGGTCAAAATCAATCGAACGGTTCAAATGGTTAATCATCTGGTTCAGCAGTTCGTTGACCAAAATCAACGGTTTTAAGGAAAACGGAACCGGTCACCTAACCATTTCTCGGTTTTTTCCGATCTGACCGTCCAGTCCTGGCCCCATACAAAGTTGAGCCTAGGAATTTTTGTTTTTTTCCTTTGATTCTTTTCTATGTGAGGGTAATTTCGTATTGTATTTTTTCTCTGTGTCTCAGCTTTGCAAGTTGCTAATTATTGCACTGTTTCAGTTTGTTTCAAGTTTTAAAAATCATTGGGTCATTAGAGTATTCTTTATTTTAACTCATCCTATATTTTAGTATGTCAAAAATCATTCATT